TGGGGGCCAGTTGGTCAGCGCAGACTTTTAAACAGGCAGGTGAAACACCATCTGGGCCTGAAGCTTTTCTAGATTTCTGCTTCCTGAAGACCCGGTTCATGACAATCTTGCATAAGTTCAAATTAAAAAGTCACTCTTGGGCACATTCTGTCATGACAATCCTGCAAAAAATAACTCCCCCAAACACAAAACGAAATGTGACCCTGGACCACACAACCAGTCATAAGGGGTCAATTTTTCAAAATTGAGATTTATACATCATCTGAAAGCTGAATAAATAAGCCAGGGCTGTGTGCAATCAGTGCAATGAATGATGGGATATGTAGTCCGGGGTGATGTGCAACAGTGTGTAGCGCGAGAGTCAATGAAAATGGAAAGGGTGACCTCTGATGGCTAGCAGACGGAAGTTCATGGACCGGATACGTAACAAGTATCCATCTGCAGACCTGCAGCGCCAGCAGTTTCAGAGCCACAGCCACAAAACCGGAAGTGAGGGGCGGAGCTAATGTTCTTAACAGAGTTGCACCATCTACGGTTTTTAAGGGGTAATTTGCTTTTATTACACATGAAACATTCATACTTTATTAATTTATGCACATTAAGCATTTTAAAAACATTAATCTTATAATTGTATATAGTTATTCGTTTCATTGTATTATGCAATATGATTTATGATGTTTATGATGTTAAAAATAATGTTTGAAACTTATGGACATTTTATATGAAATATACTTTAATCACAAGATTCAAAATAAACGTTTACTCCAAAGTCAAGAACATGTGCATCATGCATTTTTCTGTTATTTTCTATTATTTCTATTTTCTATTTCTATTACTAAAACATTTCAATAAAAATCTAAACACACACAAACAGCAGCATTATAATTTTAAAAGAAACAATCAAAATGTACACAATAATTAAATTAAAGTTTATCAAATGAACATTTCGCTTGGCCCATTTTGCCATAACAATATTGCATGAAAATTAACAAAATTAACAATTCACTCTTGGGCACATTTTGTTATCAGAATCAGAATCAGAATCAGAAGAGCTTTATTACCAAGTATGTTTACACACACAAGGAATTTGGTGACGGCACTCTGGAAGCTTCTGATTGTTCCAGGAGATAGTTGAGGGCCTTTTCCTTGTCCTCTTCATCCATTATAAGGAAAAACGGCTCTTCCACTGGCCCCCTGAGCAGATGTCTGTTGCAATGTGTCGGAATACTGGGAGCGCTTTCATGACAGAATATTAAAGGAAAATGTAATGTTAATATTTCTTATAAATGTATTATATGTATTATAGATAGATACAATGGTGGCAAAAATGATTAGAACACTAGTATTTTCAGCAGCTAAAAATGGTTTTAAGTCAGTTATTTCTATCTTTTGCTGTAGTTTGTCAGTAGGAAATATCAGTTTACATTTCCAAACATTCATTTTGCCATTTCATTAAAATGAAAGCACCACACAATTATCTCAACGTTGTCAAATGGGATTAAAATAACTAAACTATAAGGTAACATTAACTCACAAACAATGCATATAACAGAGGAAAGTAAAACAAACTATTTAAATTTAAGAATAGTAAACGTCTTCAAAACATCACCGCAAAGCCCCTTTAAAGGTGCAATAGGTGATTGTCTTCAGAAACATTTTTTGTTATGCTGGTTGAAAGTCTCTTCACATCCCGATAGCAATCATTAAGTTAAGTGGTCTAAATGTATTTATCTGTATTTATATATTCTGTGGAAGGCGTAGGACCAAGAAATGTTCGTCCAATCAAAACGCTCAGTCCGAGCGTTTTAACTGGCTTTCCTACCTGCCTGTCAACGTATGTATCTGCATACCTCTGTGCACCCTGTTCGCGTAGACAGGATACGTCATCAGCTCGTTCACGCACACTGTGCGAGACAGAGCGAGAATGGCAGACAAACATCAACAACCCCATCTTCCTTCCTGGTATTGTAGTACTTTTAAAGTTTTCTCGCCGGTGAATGACACATGATGTAGCCCAGCGGTTCCCAATTCCTGTCGTCGCGCACATATTTTGCATGTCTCGCTTAGTTAACACACCCGATTCAGATAACCAACTTGTTAGAAGTGAGCTACGTACATGAACTGTGTTCCGATCGATATGATCCCTACAACGTGTTCATTGCTCCCTAATCCCTGAGTGGGGGAAATCCGTTGAAGTTTACTTCACTTCGGAACATGGGCTGGAATTGGGAACCGCTGATGTAGCCTATTGTAGTAATGTTGTCTGTGGTATTCTGGTCTGTGAGCGTATATGCGTTCAGGGGGCGTGGCTTTGGACAGCGATTGCAGGGAGGGTGGGACGTTCGCTTTCAGTGCTATCAGGCTAAAGTTAGCATTTTCCAAGATCTCCTACTGCACCACTCACGGTGCTCTCCGCCATACTTATCTCCTCAATAACTCTGCCCCTCACTTCTGGTTCTGTGGCTGCGGTTCTGAAACTGCTGGCGCTGTGGGTTTGCAGATGGATATATCTCAACCCTAATAGTGATTAAAGGAAGAAACACCCAAAGATGCTAGGGTTCACTACTGATGATGTGTCACAAAGGCTGCATTTAAACTGCAAGTCTTAATGCACAGATCCGATCTTTTGACCATATCCGATTTTTTTGGCCCGCCTGTTTACATTCACTTTAGACACGACTAGTATCCGATATATGTGTTTACATAAATTCCTGCCCAAAATGATTGTAAGTGATCGCTTTACTATGCACATGGTAGATCCTCGGGTTTTGGATGGCTGTGATATTAAAATTATTTATATAATTCACGTCAAGTGACCATTATTATTTCCCAGCATGGACAACAGCTGTCATCGATGTCTTGCAGCACAAAATCTGACTGAAAGGATAAAGACCGGAAAATAGCTTGTTAGAGGTAGAATTCTTTAGTAAAATAAAGTAACGCCCATATGATATTTATTTAACCCCTTAACTGTCATCCCCATTTTTTAAAATTCATGAGAAAGTGCACTATCCAAACTTAAATTATTATAATTCATGAATTCATAATTCTTTTGAATATAGACCATAAGGTTGGTCTTTTTTTAAAGAAGACACTTAGCAGATTATTACAGAAGTGAAATCATTTAATAAAATGAAAGTATTAAAAAGTTATAGAAGTTTAAATTGAATGTAAAGAAAATGTATTGTACTATTTTTATTTTATTTTATATAAAATAAATATTTTTAAAAAAGAGTTAAAAATACAAAATTGCTATAAAATTAAAGCCATATGTCTACATAAGTTGTGTTCCAAATTTGAAGTTGATATAAAAAAAATAGAATTTTACCAAAAACAGCCACCTAAACTCCATTGAATTTTTTTTTTTATGCATTTCTGTCACAAATCTGTCAGTTTCTCTCTCAATATTACGTCAATCACAAAATAATAAAAAAATATATAACCACCAAATATGGAATCTTGAAACTCAAGACCTTTCCAATGATATGTATTTTGTCAAGATTATAAAAAGTTTTGATTCTAAAAGACCGTAATAGATTTTGTAATTTGACACCCCCGCTAAGGGGGAGGAGACCGCTAAAAGATTTTGAAATACAATTTCTATGGTAACGCAATATCCAATTTCAAAATGGTTTTCACAGGATAAATTTTGAGATGTTAAGCTTTCAAATGGTATATAACTTATGATGATTACTAAAACATGAAATAGGGAAAAAGGCAACGAAATAAAGACTTTTTGCGACAAAGATCAGAACTCCTGCTATGATGTATATTTGTCATAGATTCTTGGTGCACCCTTGTCATAAATTAATCTATTACTGTTACTACATAATTTGTAACTAAATTAAATTGTTAAATATCTATTTAGGATTCTTAGACCTTTCCAATGATATATAGTTTGTCATGATTATATTATGATTTAATTGTACTATAGTGAAGTAAACTTAGGCGTCCCGTATACAGGACGGTGACAGTTAAGGGGTTAATGAATTTGAATTAATTAATGAGAGAGAGAGCAAGAGCGAGAGAAAGAAAGAAAGAAAACATGCGAGCGAGTGTGAAGCTTGCTAACAATCAGAGATGGAAACTTGAGTCTGTGTCTTGGACTCGAGTCGCACATAAGTCGCGAAAATAAAGGCTGCGTTTACACTTGGCATTAACATGCAACATGTATTCAGAGGTTGTCCACATTGAAAAGTCAAGTGTAAACGCGCTTCTGATCAGAATGTTATCCGATCAGCGTG